TGACACTCCAAAAGAGAAAAAGAAAGGGTAAATGGATCAGTGTTGTGTTTAACTAACTAATAAAAAACGTTGCTACAAAACACAATCTAATGACATTCAGCTTACATAATTTTGCCTTGTCTACAATCATGAACATCGAGCAAAGAGGAGGGCCTTGGCTATGATAGAAGCATTGTCAAGGGATTCATTAAAAATGTTTTCAGCAGGAAGGCGATTGGGGGGGGGGTTCATAGGCATGCAAAACTAAGAATTTGAACTGAACTTGTTTATTGGCGTCTTTGTTATTATAAGAAAAACAAATTCCTGAAGGAAGCTAAACCAGATGAGTCACTTGGATAGGCTAAATCACATTATAGCTGGCCAACATGCCCAGGACTGCCCTCACCTTGGAGTTTGCAATGCTAAATTGTGCCATTAAATGGGTTGAGAATGGTAAATTTGCGACTTTGGTGAGGTGGCAATTAGATAACTGTGAAGAATAAGGAGGGAATAATTCACCTGTCACAATATACTAGATGACTAGTTTATCACGTTTAGAACCATTCTTGAAATCACAGAATAACTATGTATATTTATCATGTTGTTCTTTGAACAGGAGAAGGGGTGATGTGGAAACCTTTCAAGAAGAAGAGTAAGATTTTAACCAAGTATTAATTTTTGATTTGAAATTAATATCTTATATAATTATCTTTTTTAATTAAGTGCTCGATCAAAGGAGAGTTGTTAATATCTGTTGAGGGAACAAATATGTAGCAGTGCATCCCATATATTTTTAATTATTATTTATTTTTCTTGTGCAGTGAAAGACTTAAAATGGATAACGCAGTAACACAAGATGATGATGATGGGGGTAAGACAATGCTTCTATCTAATAATTTATCGTGTTTCCAGGAAATATCCATACCCACCTCAAGAGGGGTTTTTGGAAATTCTAATGGGTAGAGGGGGAAGGCTTTCTATGTGTATATTTAATGAGTGTGCATTGAATATGAGAGGGTGGATAGCCAACGAGGCACGTAGCACCAAGTTGGCTATAATCATCTTGTACCCAACGAGGGGCAAGTGGAATAATTGTTTTACAATAACGCCCCCAAAATATAGCAAACTAATCTAAAATAAAAATTAAAAACGTGCCAAATGAAAGAAGTCATGCTTACGCTTACCATATTTGTAACGCATGGTATAATGGCTCATAACCCATGCTGGCTAAGCCAATGAAAACTCTCGAATTGCATTATCCAATGATCCAGTTTTTAATAATATGACTTGTTTTACAATAAACTTTTAGTAGACAGAGGGCACTTATTGTACTAGAGTCAATCCCCCCATCCCACCCCACCCAGAATGTTTATCCTGATCCCGCCTGGTTACAGTGCAGAGCAGGAGCTCATGTGTAGAGTTGTAGTTTTCACGTACCGTCTGTAACGAGTGACTTTCTGTTTTCCCGCATCCCGCCAGCAATTTTAAAACTAGCCCGCATCCCGCCTGCCAAAATGAGCAAATCCCGCTCAGGCTGCGGAGGTATTTTCATCCCGCATCCCGCTAAACCTATGTTGGGGCCTCTTTATGTAAAATATGACCACAGTTCACACTATTAATTTATTTTGGAAGATATTCCTGTGATCCCTGACCTTGAGGATGTACAAGAGGAGGACATGATGACTCAGATTGCTGCTCCACCTAGGTGTGTTATCGATATGTTACATTTGGAACCTTTTATTGTGTGAAAAAAATTCCCCCTCAAGCATCAACTTATGCCCTGTCCACACTTTGCTGGAGAATTTGAAAACGCATCCATCACCGGTCATTTTAGATTTGTGTTTGAGGAAGACTCGGGCAGGGAAATCACGTGATTATCGTGACATCATCATTTTCTTGATGATGATTACAAAGCTCCGTTTTCAAAATGTTTTCCGTCCACACGAAAACGAAAAGCCGGCGTTTACAACTTCCTTCGTTTTGAAGAGCGTTTTCGAAAAGCTCCGTTTTCGTAACGGATCAGCGTGGACGGAAGGCCTAACCGTAGTAATAAAGTTGCGTTTTCAAATGTCTCCGGCGTAGTGTGAACGCTACCGTACCATAGTCAGAAGTGAAAGTTGGTCACGTGATAGAGGGTTAGCTAACTTGTTTCTCGCTAGCCTCCTACGCAGCTCGGCGCAGACGCTTTCTGGACACGTCACGCAATCCTTCCCTCGAGAGGAATGCGTGACGAGTCATGAGTTATGAGGCCAGGTTTTTCTCTCTTCGAGCAATTTTCTTCAGGTTCTTTCATTTTAACTGCAAATTCAGCCTGCATCATACACACACTCGTTTTAAAGTACATAATTTTCTGTTATATTTAGCATAGAAGTAAATACATTGCGTTGCTTGAGTCAATGGCAGGGTTCTTGTTCACAATAACAGCGTTCAAGTGAACAGAGTGGCGACATACAAGGAACTGGACAGTTATTTTCAGAAACAGTCAGCTCTCTTTAATGTTAACTTACTGGTGAGTGCTGTAAAGACTGGGATAACACAAGCCATTATAAGCCATCAAATATTTTTGCTCACGTGGAATTGGGCTAAAGCGTCACGTGACTGAACATAGCCCAGCTAAAACTAGGGAATATCCGAGAGACATTCGCCAATTTTCAAAACTGCGCGTGTTGCGAAAAATATTTGAAGGATAATAAGCAAAATGGCCTCCATTTGGCGTGAAAATATGCTCGGATATTTGTCCTTGGACATAATCTGTTCCTCAAAACTCACAGCCTTCCTCGAGCTACGCTCTCAGAAAACTGTCCGCGGAGAAATATCTGAGCATATTTTCGGGCCAAACGGAGGCTATTGTTTACATAAACATGATAGCACGAAACAGGAAAACTTCTATATTTTAGAGTGATAGGCCTGTCCAAACAATTCTGTAGGAATTGTTCACGGGGCAAGCAAAGCTGTTTGTAAACGCACCGCAGCGAGGGAATACACCGTACGGTAGAGAAGATTACTGCGGTTGAAAACACTTGAATAAAGCAATACAATGGCAACTGCTAACTGATTCCGTAGAGAAAGAAATAATCAATTTTGTCTGCTTGAGAAGACTTGAATATGGTTTTCTTTTTGTTTCCTACCCCTGTGATAATATATTTAGCCAAAATATTTTCCTTACTTGCGAAAATGGACACAACTGTGTCCGCATGGTGTTCATGTTTGTTTTCTTTTTCATTTTGCAGGATGGCGAAATTGACCTAAAACTCCTCACTAATGTTTTATCTCCAGAAACGGAAGTGTTTGAGGTAGGTCTATACAAAATATGCCACGCATTTTAGTTTTGTGCTCAAGAAAATTATCACTGAAATGTTAAACTTTATTTAAATCGTTTGCTCAAATGGAGGTTGTAGTTAAGATAATGTATCTTCTCTGCCTGGTAAAAGTGGTAAAACGAACTCCAGAGGAATCAGCCAATCAGGAGGATGAAATAACGCAATTAACCAATCAGAACTCGAAGCAACACGTCGTGTGTAGAAAGCACGGGAAAACTTAAACTGGGAACGTTCGCGCGACCAAGTCACGATTGATTGGCTTATTTTACGGCTTTCTTAACCAGTTGCAAGGATTTTGACTTCGCAAATTACTTTTGTCTAACCAAGTTGTTGCAAGCATTTTCTAACATCACTTCGTTCTTTCAGGAGGACAAACCTTGGGACTGGGACCGACTATTCACTGAAGTAGCATCCGAGCTACAAACCGAGTGGGACACTGGGAAAGAAACAGATGAACTAGAAGAGTCTAACACATGAACGAACTAAAAACGTTTTAAATTATTGGAGACGGAGAAGGCCAGGAAATATATTTATTAATCCAGAGCCGGCAAGTGTAGGAAAATTTGCCTTTTATTTTTCTTTCCTTTTTGTAGTTTTTCTCTTCTCGTAAATATTAATGCTCGTAAATGCAACGAGGACGAGTTAAAAATTGTAAAATACAGTAGCCACTCCTTCTCTTTGCAGACGCCGCCATCGTATGCAAAGTTCTGTTCATACAGCATGTACACATTCGCGCTTTTTTGAGTTTTCTGTGCGTTCCTCGGTGAAAGAACTAGCGGTCAAATGTCCTAACAAATAAAACAAAACGAAAAAACATGAGAAACGCATTTGTTTGCATGGTATTTTTCTGTCGTAATATGCTAAGAAGTGGTTTAAGATTTTCACTTACAAGTTTTTTCATTTATAATTTTGGCAACTTCCAATTAACGTGTTGATTCGGCGGAATTTTCCTTTTCTTTTTCCGGCGCCAATCCTGTCTGCTTGCCATGAATTTAAGCAAACGTGAATAGCCAGATGACAATTATTCAGGTAAAAAAAGCGCAAGGGTTGAACAGATCACAGATTTTTGAATCAGTGCAAATCGTTCTTTTTATCCACCCACAATCTCGTTCCAAATCGTTCCCAGAGTCCCCCAGGAGGAGGGGGTGAGGTTCCGCGCGACCCTAAGTTTTAGTTAACATTGTCTCCTCGTGGGTAAGCGGGTAAACATTTTATTTGCAAAAATGAAATCAAAACCCTTTTTCTTTTCTGCTTGTGAGACGCATATTTTAAGCCTCCGCAAGAAGCGGCGCGTGAAAACAGAGACCTCCTGAGAAACAATGAAATTCATAAATATTTCCACAACATTCTTCTCTCGTTTGGCAAGACCCAAGTTATCTCCATGTCAACTTCCCCAATTTCAAGTCTCGGTCTTAGAAAGATTTGCGATCGAGTCGACCCCAAAGAGCATATCATAGAGGACGAGGCCTTAAACACAGTTAGTTGCGTGGGCTTACCGAATAAAATTCAATAGCTCTTGTAACTTACCACTTTTAATTTGATAAATTCAGAAGCTACCTAATGTAACATGGTATTTTCTGAGTTTTAAAACCGTACCTCAGTATCTGCGGTACGAAGGGTGTAAATAATTGCATGCTATTAAATGAATGTCGACTAAAATCAACCAAAGTTCCCTTCTTGAGATTTGAGTTGGACTCGATATTGAAACAACAAAATTCCACTACTGGTAAAATCCTATACATCGTCTTTGGTTACAAGTTTCAGAATTGAACTAAAAACAGTTTAAATATCGTTCCAGCATTATTTTCTGTAAGTCTAATCGTCACCCTCGGATTCTACGATGACATCATCGGAATCGTCGGCAAACTTCGTGGCTTCATTCGGCAATTTGCTTGTTTCGTCGTCTTCTTCGGACTCCACAATGACGTCATCAGAATCACGTGATGCTGTTTCGTCGTCATCGCACTTGCCATTTACGGAATTAACGTCGGCGGCTCTTTTAGACTCGGCAGTGACATCGGAACCGTGTGAAACTTGGCGCTTTTGTTCCGAATCGAAGAGTTTCCTCCGGACATCGTCGGGAGCGTTCGGAGAACCTGCTCCTGAAGAGCTTGATGCAGCCTTCTTCTTCTCGAGTGATTTATCGGCTGCTGGAGTTGACGGGACGTAATACTCATCTCCGCACTTAAGAGAGGGTACAAGTTTTGCCATTACCTTGAACGGCTGAGAGGTTTTAGTCTTTGTTTCGCTTTCTGTTGTCAGAATCACGCGTACTTGATTAAAGATTTTCACCTCTTGTTCCTCTTCGTAAGTAACACCCGTCGTTTTCAACCTGACACTCCAAACCAAACACATCTCGGCTGGTTTTCCCTTCACTCCTTTAGTAAAGGTAAAGCTTTTCACTCCGGGGCAGAACTTCAGATAAACCCGCTTGACCACACCCAGTTCTGGGACAAGAACGTCCAGTGATTGGTCCATCAGATTTAGTACCATTCCCTCCTCCTCAAGGGGGCCGCTTTCGCGCACAAAAATACCAAAGAACAGTTCATTGCTAAGTTCACTAGCTCTCTTAGCCGCAAGTTTACGATCATTGCAATGTTCTGCTATCATGTCGACAATTGCTGGCTCTTGATTCAGCGGTTGATCAATACCAAGACTCGCGGCCAAGAGCCTGTGCACAACTATATCCGGATATCTTCTTATGGGAGACGTAAAATGCGTGTACAGAGGTACGCTCAAGGCGTAGTGTCCATATTCGCCTTCCTCCACGGACCCCGTGCAAAAATACTCCGCGTTCTTCATGGGGCGCATGGTCAGGTTGACCAAAACCTCACGCTCAGGGGAGCCCAGCGGAAATTGTGCCAGCGATTCGTGAATGGTTTTCGACGATGTACAGTTGAAGGTGATTCCAAATGACTTGCACAACTCGAGGAGATCGTCGAGTTGTTTCTGGTGTGGTTTGGGATGACGCCTCAGCATAGCCGTCTCTGGGTAAGCGGTATATATGTGATGAGCCACCGCCATGTTGGCCAGCAGCATGAACTCTTCAATGAGCTTGTTGGCGTCTCGCTGTTTGTGCACGTGATAGCCATTGGGCAAACCTGTTTCTTGATCCAGGTCAAACCGGATTTTCACTTGATCGAGGCGCAGCGCGCCATTTTCAAAACGATTGCGCCGTAGACGCACAGCGAACTTATGAAGCTGATTCACTTGCGCTGAGATTTCTTCCACGCTCGCGCCGTCTGATATCGGTGGCAGCTCGTTTGGGTTCCACGTTCGGTTTGGTTTGTCGATCATGTCCTGGGCGTGTTCGTAGGCCATCTTAACACGCGAGCGAATGATTCCTCTCCCTTTCCACTCGTCTAATATTTCTCCTTTATCGGACATTTTCCAAACAACAGAGAATGTCAGACGATCTTCACCAGGGTTTAAACTGCACAGCTCCTCGCACAAACGGCGCGGGAGCATGGGCACAACCTTCTGAACCATATAGGTGGAAGTTCCTCTCTCTTCGGCCACCTCGTCCAGGGCAGTCCCTCGGCGAACGAAGAAGCTGACATCGGCGATGTGTACTCCAACTTCGAAGAGGCCATCTTCTAGTTTCTTGCAGTGCACTGCATCGTCCAGATCTCTGGCTGTAAGAGGATCGATCGTGAAAACACAATCTGCACGAAAATCTCTTCTATATTCCAACTCCTCTTCGGGTATCTTCCAAGGTGTTTCCTGAGGTAAACACGCCAGAGCCTCGTCTGAAAATGGCCCTGAATCAATCCCGTACTCCAGAAGGATCCCTTCCGTCTCCGGGTCGATTTCACCCGCCTCGCCCAGTCTTCGCGCGATGGTGCCGATCGCGAGGAAAGAATCCTTTGAAGAGGTCTCGGGCCAACTGCTAATACGCGCCACAAGCAGCGTGTTTTGGAAGTCACGTGGTCTGTCAAAGAATCCTGGCGGACACTTTTCCCGTGGGATGCGTATCCTTGGCAACCGACTGTCAATTGGGGAGAAGAGTCCATCAGGGCATTCTTTAGGGCGGGTGAAGGGCTTTAGATTTCCTGTAGCAACACGGGAGTGCTTCTTCTCTATGATATACACTACCTTCGCTGTTTTCTGCAAGTATCGCTCTGGCACTTCATCCACAGTGATGTGATGACTCTTGGAGGGTGTTTCAGCTGAATGTGGTTCATCCCCGTTGCTAATGGACATCTTCTCCACATTCAATGTCACGTTTTCTACGTTAGCGTGTTCCTGATCAGGATCCCCCAAGCTCAAACCGTTATAATTCAGCTCTCCCTTCATGATCTTCCAATCATGTCTGGGTAGAATTTCCAGCGCGACCACGTCGCCATTAAGAGCCCTGTTACGCCTCAGCATTCCCTCTATCAGCACATCTCGCCCCAGTCCCGGCACAGTCACCCAGGCCATCTCGTAGTTCCGTGGGTTAATCCTCAATACACCTTTAACAAGCTCATCTCTCTTCAACCCAGCCGACACTTTCTCTACAGGCCAGAATTGTTCGTACAGAGGCCTCTGTTGGTTACCTTTGGTCTTAAGCGTACTGTGGGGTGAATTTCTCATTCCAGATCTTTCATGTGATCTTGGTGTTGTGTGATTCACACTTCTTGTTTGTTGGTGCTGAACGCTGTTTGGTGTTTTACTGTGAAGCTGGTTCACCTCTCGGCTAGCTTCGGGGTCTTCGCCTTCACCACGAACTTTACCAGATTTCCTTCGCCTGTTACGCTTCTTTTTCCCGCCTCTTGCATTCTCAGGAGTCGGCGTATCATGCCGTGGTTCGTTATCGCCTTCCGCTGCGAGGTTTGCGCTCGCGCTGTCTCCCTTTGCCATGTTTTCTTGGACTTGCACTTGCGATGTTTCTTCCCTCACCTGTGCGCTCTTTCCTCGTCTTCTTCTCGATCTTCGCTTTTTCTTGCTATTCGTTTGATCCTGGCCCGCGCTTGGAGCTGAATGAACACGATCTTCTTCTTCTTCTTCGTCAGCGCAGTTATTCAATTGTTCAGCTGAGTCAGGAGAAGTTGGTTGTGTAACATCACTCTCTTCCACTATTGCATCACAATCAGTAACTACTGCTGACACTGCACTTGCAGTTTCAGAACCTTGTTTTTTCTTCTTTCGTCTCTTGCGTTTCTTCTTTTGACTTTGAGCTGCACCACCAACAACTTCCACCTCTTTCTCTGCATTTTCACGGCCATCTGCGGGCACAGTTTGTGTTAAACTCGCTTCATCTTTCGCATTTGTAGCATCACAACCTGTAGTACTTGCACATGCATCGATTTCTTCTGCACGAGCAAAGTTCGCAGCCGGCCCGATACAATCTGTAGCTTCCACTACCTCTTCTTCTCCATCCTCGCTGCGTTTTTCAAGTTCTTTACAGTTCAAATCCATTGACAATTCAGGTCTTGCATACGACACATGGAATAAGCGCTGGAAGTTAAAGTGCACAATAACATAACTTTTAAGTTAAAGAGTCGGCTGTTGTTAAGCCAAAGATTGGCATTTAATTAACAACAGACGCTTTGTATTACCTTAATGAAATATACGACGTACCAGCATCACGTCAGGTGTTAGAAAACGGAAGAAATTTCACGAGTTATCGCGCCTTCGTTCCTTCCGCCATCTTTGTTTTTGTTTCGTCTTTCCCATGGGTCACTACTCTCCTAAGGGGGTCACGTGGTTATTCGAAGAGAAAACAAGATGGCGGACTGGAAGCACACAAATGACATCTGAAGCTAATGATCAAGTCTTCCATAGCTAGTTCGCTCTCTCTGATCTGATGTTGATGAGCTAATATTCAAAGAACCAAGATGAGTGCAGACTCACAAACGCTCCAAGCAAAGTATCAGAAACTGGCTGCAGAATTTGCAAAGGTTTGTTTCGCCTGTGTTGCCTCAAATAAGGAAACATAATTTTAAGGCTTGTTAAAAAAGGCTTAATAATTGAAATCTTGATTTGTTTACTTGTGTACAACATTACCAAAGCGATAATCTTAAGTTAAATTGTATTATTTTTGTTTTGCTGCGGAGTGATGTAAGCTTATTTTTGCTGCGTGCATGGAATGGAAGGCAATAGGAATCTTAAACGCGATCCCAAATGTCTGTCAAAAATTAACTTAATCTTAACCTCTGCAACTTTTCTCAGTTCTTAAATATGGGAATGGCCACCAAATTTTTTCATCGATTGCCACTTTAAAGGAAGAAGGCATCACCTGCAATATGGGAAATGTGACAAAATACGATTTTCTCTTTTCCCCTGAAATTTTATTGTAAATACTTGTTCCAGTAAGTATCCATACCTTCCCCATGGAAGGTTTTTGGTTTGAAACTACTCCGCCTGTATAATTTCCTTTTAAATTTTTTTTGCCGTTTGGGAGCTCCCCCCACCCCACCCCCTTGGACTGTAGTGGGACACTTTGTGACTGTTACGTCACATGCTGTTTAGTCTCGGAACAGGTCAGAACCAGTTACAGAGAGCGCATGCTGTTGAAGCTCGTCGAAGCTAAGTTGTTTACTGTTAGCTTTGCTTGTGTTCAAATATAAACTCAAGTGTGTTGTGTTTACTTGCCTTGAACCTCGTCCTGGTCTGTCTACAGGATAAATTTTACAGTTACTCTCCTTGGGTGACTACAGATACTTTATGAACACGCACTTAGGAAAACTAAAAGGAGAGGTCAGATTCTTTGATCTCTAGGTGAAATATGTGTAGCTACTGAGTGAGACTCTACTTCCTTTGAATCCAAGGGGGTACTCTGTAATTCATTGGGTAGGGGTGTGGCCACTGGGAGACAGTGAAACCCTTACGCTATACTAGACCCTATTCTAGACTACAGTGAGCACCAAAAACCCCTACCCTATCCCAGACTAGCTATTTCCCATGCAGAAAATGTATCACTAATGTGGTTCAATGTGCGTTAACTATACCAATATCCTCACAAAGTCACTTTCAAGTTTCAATTTCTATTATTAAGAACCCTGTGGGTAAAGAACCCAGTTCTAGACTAAATTATTTATATGTTGGCTACTTTTCCAGTAAATTATACCCTGAAAGTATTCTAGACCAAAACTGTCAAATTTCTATTTACCCTATCCCAGACTAAACTGCCTGATAACCATGCCCTTCATAGTGGCATGTATCCATGTAGGTTAAACTGTTATATATGGGAGTAACCCCTCTCCCCAGCTTTGAGTGGTATCAAAAAACATAATTATCAGTGGGGCTTCTTTCTCCACACAAAATCTCACTTGCCAATCCAAACAATAATTTAGCTAAATTATGTATCAATCAAATAGTTCAAACTTCAACATAGCTTGGGCGTATTCTGGGCATTTGACTAGCTGATGGGCTTAATTTAGCTTGTGGGACCAAAAATGGTCATCAATAGTTGCTTAAGGGCTTGTGGAATTTTTCTTTGATACCAATCTCTTTTCTTCCTGTGATAAACCTACTCCTTTTGCAACAGATTTTAGTAACTATACCTTTAATTCATAGCAAAGAGCACAGAACACCGTTCTAAAGAAGGCTGTGATAGAGGAACAAGAAAAGACAAAGACTCTTCAGGTTATTAAGAATCAATGTATCCTTTGTTTTGTTTTTTGAATTTTATACATGTTGTTTTTGCACTGTGAAATGACAGGCCAAAATAACCGGTTGATTTTACTGGCAATATTACTATATACAGATAAGGATTTTCACTGAAATTTTGATTCTATTATTTCTGATGTTGTTTTCCAGGAAACTGTACGGCAGAAGGATCAATCTATTAGGAAATATGAACAAGAGATTGACAGCCTGCAATTCAGAAACGATCAGGTAAGGCAACGTAAAGTAAAGTAAACAGGCATTTCTTACCACTTGCTTGTTTTTTCCTCTGCTCAGAGATTGTCAGCTGAGATTGACAAGGTGGAATGATCAGATATTCTTGTTAATTTGGCTTGACAGAGCTTCTTGTATTGTCTCAGATTCAAGTAGTACAGTCTCAATCAGAGATAATCATGGATAGCTGTTGAGTTCTGCCATCAGTATAGTATTTCAAATTAAATTTCAGAGTCCCTTGAGTAGGGTGGGTAACAACTGAATCCACAAAAGAGACATTTGAAGTCTTACAGATCTATTGTCACTTAAATGAGGGAGGGGCTCCAGCGAGGAAGGGCCTCCTCTTGATTAAAATATGGGGGAAGTAGTGAAGGTGGTGTTTTGATGTGAAAATTAGGAAGCTGAAAAAATACCATAACAAGTTTTGACCTTATATTTTGGTAAAACGGTTTGGCAACCTGGACCCCCCTAGTTCTCTGTATCCAGCATTGGTCTCTAGAGGGCATCTTAGGGGTTTTTAGAACACGGGATATTTAGGTAAAAAATTGTTGGGGTACGGGATGTTTAGGTCAGATAAAACAGGATTATAGAGCAGGAAAATTGCTAATTTTTTCATTTGGAATAAATGACATACAGGTCATTTAGGCAAAAAGGTAACAGGATTTGGGATACTTAGGACCCTCCCCCCACCTAATGGGGCCTCTCTTTAGCCAGACTAGGGCAGCCATATACAACGTCTAGCTTTGCAGGACCATAATCTGTCAAACTATAATTTCATCATACTTTTTTTTCTTAGTTGTCAAAGAGAGTGTCAGTCTTACAGGAAGAACTTGATGATTATGATGGAAAGAACAGGAGAGGAAAGGTTGATATCAAGTTTACTGTCTGATTCGCATACATAACTGCATTGATCTCTCAAAATAAAATCTTGCACTTTTAACCCAAAAGCTTTGCATCTATGTATTTACAATTTGTAGGATTAGTGATAAACGTCAGTCCATGAATGTCTTTTGCATTGCAGTCAAGAATTGATGGGATGGTAAGGGGAGATGATAATGATGTGAAAGATCAGGAACTTCAGATAAAAATACAAGAAAATGAGAGACTTCAGAGAGAGGTTAGTACCACAAACATGTAAGATGATTTCCACTGAACATCGTAGCAAAAAGGGCAAAAATAAAATTTTCAAACAAACCTCAGATGTAGCATGGTAATATTATTTTGAATACAGTTAAGAGCAACTTATCAAGACTGACCCCGTAAGAGAACACTGAAGCCAACCTGAAGATGTTAATGTCTTAATTAAATTGGACATTTCACATCCATTCAGTTGAAAACATGTTGACTAACACACATGCTTTAAGCTTTCTTACAAGGTTTGATATTAAGTTTCTCAAGAATGCTTGAGAATTTAATCTCAGGGTCACTTAGAGAAATGAATGAAAGTGAGGTGTTTCAAAGAGTTTTCAGAAGGTTACCGTGCTATGAGTAGATTTTTAATACAATAATTTTTGCACTTATTGCTAGAACTTTGAGCAGAATCTGACTTAATTTTCTCATCTGCGCTCCAACAATCTTGTTTTGTCGATTCTTGTGAAAAAATGTTTCGGCCGAGTTCTAACTATCCAGTAATGGAACCACCTTAACTTAAAATTACTGAAGGACAAAACCCAGAGTAGACCATCTTAAATTCATGATTGCCTTCTTTGGTTGTGCAAGCTGTAGCCCAGTTTAATAGTGCCTTATAATTTTACCTGGCAGTTATATGAAACAACCCAGGAACACAAAGGAACAATATTGACCCTTCAGGAGAAGTTGGAAGCTCTAGAAAGGTGACAGTATGCTTAGAATGTAGTCAAATGTTTGGCTCACATGTTAATCAGCTTGTAGTTCATAGATATTAAAATGTTATTGATTGTCAATATTATGTTTGTCATTTTTTTTAGGAATTCCACTGATCACCAGAAGATTTTAGATGAAGCTAATGGCAAGCATAAAATGGTTCTTGATAAACTTAATGAGGAGAGAGCCTTGTTAGAGGTTTGTTAAGCAATCAGCATTGAATACTATATAAATTATGATGACACAAGAAAGTTGATGGACTGAAAAGCTGTTTGAACACACTGTTGATTGCCAAACCAAAGCTACCCTGACAAACCCTAACAAATCTCAACAAATACTAAGATCAAACCAGGCTATGCAAAATTGTTAGATTGAAGATGTAGGAAATTCATTTTTTATGCCTCTTTGATTAGTATCAAGTTGTAAGAATAATGTCTACTCAGCTTATAGACATGTTRGGTAACAGYTTGAYTATGACAATCATGTTATTGCTTATTAATATTATTATATGATATTCATTTATATTTTATTTATTTAATGGTCCAAACTAACATAATTTTTCTTTTAAGGCTAAACTTCATAAGACAGAAGAAGAATTAAAAGTAGCAAGTTTCAAGGCTGAGAAAGGGTAATTAGAAATAAAAGCATGCTCATGTTCTTCCATTAAATGATTTGATTCCTGTTGCATTATTTTTGTCAGTGACAATAATGCACATAGCAAAGTGTATTCTAATTTCACAGCCACCAACAACTGAAGCTCTTACACAAGGAAATGACTTCAAGATATGGTACGAGAGTGCATTTTTAGCACATTTATTTCTTTCTAATGCTGGACATTGAAAAGACTGGGTCAATTAGTTAAACCAGCCATTTGACTTTTTCTGGATGGAGTAAATATGGTAAGAGAAATAACGCTGTAAACATTGCTTCTTTCAGATGATGTCTCTAAGGTTGTTACAGAAAAACTTCCATTCAATGACACAAGTAAGCACATCATGATGTTTGGCTATTAATGTGATCCCTCTCTTCCATGCACCAGACATTTATTTCTACTATGTACATGTACATGCTTGAATATTTTAACTTATAGAGGAATTAAATGTTGTTACTGTTGGTAGGTAAATTAACTGCTTTTAATTATGACTCATTCAATTCCATTACCATAATCTTGGACGAATTTCAGGCATCAGAGAATTGAACAAGCTAAATGTACCAACACATGACCGCAAGCACCAGGTATAGAATGATGCTCTTTGTTAATCGTGGTTGTCTTGGATAATCAAAATAATATGACTAATAAATAACATGTAATCTACATTGAGTACTATATATGATGACACAAGAAAGTTGATGGACTGAAAAGCTGTTTGAACACACTGTTGGTTGCCAAACACTAAAACTAAAGCTACCCGGACAAACCCTAACAAACATCAACAAACTTTAAGATGAAACTAGGCTAATTACTCTTGATCCATCAATAATTAGGTTATACATCATCCATGAATAATTAGGGTTAAGAGACAAAGGAATTTCATTTTAACCTGAATTTCATTTTGACCTAAAACATTTATATTTTTTTTGATATTCCATAGCTGTTAGGTAACTGCTTGATTCTGTGTGGTAGGTAACCTGCTTTTGGCTCTCAGATTGTGGAGAACTGGCAAAATAACATAAGAAATTAACACCAGCCTATAATATTTTCCCTAATGGGGAAAGGGTCATTCCCTTTGCTACCAGACTGCTGTGTGGGAGGTTGAGGGTTCAGACCCCAGACCAGACCAACGCTTCAGGATCTTTAAATAACTGAGGAAAATGTGCAACCTTTGTAATTACAACTGCAAATGGTTAGACGTTCAAGTCTTCTGGGATAAGGGATATAAACTGAAAGTCCCATCTCCTTCATCTTTAGTGTTATGTAGTGCTTCAAATTGGGTTAACCTCATTGTGCCTTCCCCCTTTCACACGATGTCCAAGAAAAATTGCCATGTCGATGTTTTGGCTCATTTCTGACATCCATTGCCCCTGAAACAGGTTA